ACTCTGACAAGGCTTGGGCTTTGAAGAAGGGTGCAGCCCCATTTCCCTTTTATCAGAAAGTTCAAGCTAGCATCTTTCTACTATGCTAGAAGAGGTCAGTAATAAAACAGTGCCTGTCCCCACCTGCCACTGCTCCAGGTGAACTTGCATCCATCAGCAACTCTGAGAAGCTGGTGGCTCTGGGCTTGGCCAGGATTCCAGTGTTGCTGGAACCCTTGACTGTGGTAAAATCTGACAGTGTCCCTCAACTCCAGAATTAAGGCTAAGGTCCTCTGCCCCTCTTCTCCCTTCTTTCCTTGTCAGCCTTACCCACCAACTGAATAGATCATATCTGACCAAAAAAAAGACCTGAGGCATTAGGTAAAAGGAAGCCCAACATTAGGGGCTAGACAGTCAGTATACACTACATCTAAATTAAAATGTGAAACAAGAACTCCACTGAATCAATCCAAACAGCACTTGATAACCTGACTTTAAGTCAAGGCACCCCCACTCTGCCCCTCTCCAAGAGTTGTTGAAGGACTGTGATAGTCCAGCTTTGGAGGAGTTTCCCTCTGACCTAACTACAGAACTGCTAGCATCATTTCCCCCTTGTTGTTGTTGTGAAGTGCCATCGAGGTGATTCCGACTCATAGAGACCCTGTATAAGGTTTCCAAGGAGTGACTGGTGAGTTTGAACCACCAACCTAGCAGTTCAAATGACCTTTCGGTAGAGTGATTAGTGTTAGAAATTCCTTCGGTAGAGTGCTTAGTGCTTAGAAATTCTTCTAGAGAAACTTCCATGAGGTTGAAGCTGGCAGACCACAATCTGACAAGTACTTGATGAAGTCATGGGGCTTCTTTTAGCTTTTATTGTTTGGCTTCCCATGTTATTTAGGGGTATTTCTCATACGCAAGAGGGTGCCCAGGCAGCAGGCTTCTGTGATTCAGGATACTTTTCTTCCTTACGGCCAGGACCTTACTGGATGGGATCAACCTTTATGTGGCATGGACCTCATAAAGCTTTCTTTAATAAAGTTTTTATGCCAGTGTCAAGACAGAGTTCCAGAACTCGGCAGAGATGTGGGTCAGGACTCTTCTCCCACATATTAGAAAGATACTGGTTTGAATATACAAAAACCTGAATTACTTTGGTTCTGTTACTAGCTACATGTAACTTGGGGCATGTCAGTTGGCCTTCTGGGTCCCCGTTTCTTCATCTATAAAGTGAAAAAGTGGATGAAATCATTCTTACCAACAAAAGGTCCCTGGGTCTGTAAGGAGTAATGACTGTGGGTGGGAGAAGGGCATTACTGAGCTACTATTGAAACCGAAATTGTAAAAGGATATAGCACAGCGTGAAGCAACTAAAATGTAGGGTGGTTACTTTGCTTTTAGCAGAAATTCTATCTAGTTGGTGTGCTAATATTGAATATCTCCAGAAGAGGGGCTCTGGTAGCATAGTGGTTACAAATCGGGCTGCGAACCTTAAGGTCAGCGGTTCGAAACTACCAGCCGCTCCGCGGGAAAACGATGAGGTTTTCTACTCCCGTAAAGATTTACACCCTCAGAAACCCTGTACAGGGTCGCTATGGGTCGGAACCAACTCGATGGCACTTAACAACAACAACAACAAGGGGAGCATAGATTCATGGTATTTTTTAGCTTCTTAATTAATAAGACAGGGAAAATGAGTTACTCCTTAATAAATGTAGGTTGTTTGAGACACACAAAAGGAGAATTAAAGGCTAGTAGCAACAAGGCCATTCACCACAATGCTGCCTGGGCTCCCAGTCTTCACCATTTCCACTCCCTGATTGAATGACTTAATTACCCCAGGGTGGACTCCCATGCACCCCAGCTATCCCTGACCTGACGGAGCCTCCAGTATGCCAAATCTCCCCTAGGCCTGGCTACACAAAGGCTGGACCTGTCCCAGACCCAACTGATCATTGGATTTAAACTCAACAGTGGAGCTAAACCACTAGCTCAATTGTCAGAGGATTCAGAAGCATCCTGGCCTCTGAGACTTGCAAACCAGGAGAAGGTAGGCCCAAGCCAGATCCTCACAAGCAGCTGATGAAGAGAGCTTTGGGTTCCTAAAGCCCCTTGAATCCAGTGTTTTTATTCAGATGCACACTTTCTTGTCTGGTTTACTACAACAGCCTCCTAACTGGATGAGTTCAAACCATTATCCATACAGTTAGTAGTTGCATGCTTAACTGTTTGCACCACCCAAAGACTCCAATAAGGAATTTCAATCAAATTTTTGCTCTTCACTTATGCACTCAGTTGCCCTTAAACTAGGTGACCAGCTCATCAAGGTGTCCTCAGGACTTTCACATAATAGGACCCCATCATCAGTTAGTCACCTCAAGGGCAGAATGTGCTCATGGCCTTGGAACCATTTCAGGGAACTAAGGCCATTGTCCTCAGAGGATTCCAGTACAAACTGAAAGTTTTCTGAATGGCATACTCTTTCACAATCAGATTTCTTGGAAGAAAAAAAAATAAATCTGATTTTAGCCAGCGTTGCAGAGAGCACAGTCTAAAAGGAAAATCTGGAAGAAGAAAAAAAGTGTCTGGCAAGAAAACACTCTCTTCCCTAGAATCTACAAAAGGAAAAATGACTAGCAAAATCAGGCCAAGATACACCAAGACTATGGAATAAATCAGACCTGGAATATACATCAGACCATAATAACCTCACAACAACTCTACGAATAAGGTGTAAGAAAACTAAGTGATCCCATTATTAGGAGAGAAATTGGTTCCTATTATATAGAATAGAAGTATCTCCTGTAGGCATATTTTCTAAAACTATCATTTTGTCATGTTTTATGTGAGGAGAAAGACACAGTAATAACAAGACTTGGGGGATGATCCTGTAGATTTAAGAAGGAGAATATTAACCAAGACATGCCTCAAAATACTTCAAGGGGACCAGCCCCTGCATCCTGAAAAGCGCATGTTAATGGGTGGGAGAGACTTGTGGCTGCCCACTCTCTATAGTACAAGTTTCTGGGACAACAGAGCACTCCTCAAATTAGTGAGCAGGAGAAGCTCAATCTAGTTATTCCATTTCTAATATCCAAGGCCTCTCACCAAGTGGTTCTCTATTCCTAAATCAGCCCTTGGGTTTGAGGGCCCCAATATTTCATCCAAGAATTATTTCATTTTCTTAGGGGTAAGGGGTCACCAGGTAGATGACTGCAGGCAAGCAAGCTGGACCACAGAGCACAGGAGGAAACCACAGATGCTGATCATGCTTGGAATTAGGACCTGCCTGTGACCGTTGAATAACATGATGAACATAACTGATACCACTACATTGTACTCTCAAAAAATGTTGACTTAACAAATGTGCGATGTATACATTTGCCAATTCATATATTTGTTGTTAAGTGCCATTAAGTTGGTTCCAACTCATAGAGACATTGTATAGGGTTTCTGATGAGCAGCTGGTAGGTTTGAATAGCCAACCTTGTGTATATATATATATACAGAGAGAGAGATTTATTGTTGTTGTTGTGAGGTGCAGTCAGGTTGGTTCCGACTCATCAAAACACTGCCCGGTCCTGCGGCAACCTCACAATCATTTGAGCTTGAGCCCATTGCTGCTGCCAATGTGCTAATCCACCTCACTGAGGGTCTTCCTCTTTTTCTCAGATCCTCCACTTTGCCAAGCATAATGTCCTTCTCCAGGGATTGATCCCACCTGATAATATGTCCAAAGTATGAGAAATGAAGTCTGACCATGCTGGCTTCTAATGAGCTGGTTGTATTTCTTCCAGCACAGCTTTGTTTGTTCTTCTAATATTCTTCTCCAACATGTTAACTCAAATGCGTCAATTCTTCTATGGTCTTCCTTATTCATTGTCCAATTTTCACATGCATATGACCCATGGCTTGGGTCAGATCCACCTTAGTCCTCAAACTGACATTTTTTGTTCTTGAGCACTTTAAAGAGGTCTTGTGCAACAGATTTGCCCAATGCAATATGTCATTCCATTTCTTGACTGCTGCTTCCATGAGTATTGATGGTGGATCTAAGCAAAATGAAGTCTTTGACAACTTCAATATCTTCACCATTTATCATGTTGTTATTTATTGCTCCAGGGGTGAGGATTTTTGTTTTCTTTACATTGAGGTACAACTGTGGTCTTTAATCTTCATCAGTAAATATTTTAAGTCCTCTTGGCTTTCAGCAACCAAGGTTGTATCATCTGTATATCAAAGTTTGTTAATGAGTCTTCCTCCAATCCTGATGCCATGTTCTTCTTCATATAATCCAGCTTCTTATATTATTTGCTCAGCATACAGAATGAATAAGTATGGTGAAACAATACAACCCTAGCGCACACCTTTCCTGATTTTAAGTCTGTTTAAACAACTGCCTCTTGGTCTATGTACAGGTTCCTCATGAGCACAATTAAGTGTTCCAGAATACTCATTCTCTGCAATGTTGTCTATAGCTTGTCATGTTGATCCATACAGTCAAAAGGCTTTTCATAGTTAATAAAGCATAGGTAAACATCTTTTTGGCATTCTCTGATTTCAGTCAAGATCCATCTGACATTAGCAGCAATATCCCTTATTTAACATCCACGTCTGAATCTCAAGTCGGTTCTGACTCATAGTGACACTGTACAGAGTTTCCAAGGAACAGCTGGTGGGTTTGAACCCCCAACTTTGTGGTTAGCAATCCAGTGGAGCCCTGATGGCACAGTGGGTTAAGAATTGGACTGCTAACCTCAAAGTCAGCAGTTCAAACTCACCAGCTGCTCCCCAGAGAAAGCTGAGGCTGTCTGGTCCTGTACAGCTTCACAGTCTGGGAAATCCTATGGAGCTGCCCTCCTCTGCCCTGCAGGGTCAGTATGAATGAGTACTGATTCGATGTCGGTGGGTGGGTAGATATTTATATAGATATAGATAATAGATATAGATATGTAGATATAGATATATAGATACAGATATTAACAACTTATTTATTAACACTTTGTTTAAAGACGAGGGTGTAGATGGGGCCTGAGGCAGGGGGCAAAACAGACCCCTTAGCACTTGGAGACCCATTAGAAGGTGAGAGAGAGGCACACGAGGACAGCTCTCAACTTTTCAGCTTGACAAACAGCATGAATTCATGATGGTGTTACGAACCATAACAGAAAATGTAAAAAGAGAGAGAGGTTGGGAGGAAAGATAATAAATTCAGTTTGACTTTACTGAGTTTACAGAGCCAATGGAATACCCAGATAGAGATGTTCAATCAAGAACTGGCTATATACACAGCTCAAACCAATAATAACAAGACAAAATGGCAGCTGTTGAGTTCATTCATAACAATCCCATGTGTGTCAGAGTAGATCTGTGCTCAATTGGGTTTTCAGTAGTAGATTGCTAGGACTTTCTTGTGGTGGACTTGAGCTTCCTAGTTCATTAACCATGACTTCATCATTGGCAGCCAAGCACGTTGACCATTTATACCACCCAGGGACTCCTACGTACCGGACTGAATATTAGAAAAAAGATACTGGTAAAAGTCTATATGTGGGTGATAGCTGTAAGAAATCCTAGAAGCTGAGTGAGGGCTTGGCTGAGGGTGTTCAGGTGTTCTGTGTGTTTTGTGAAAGGGGAAATAAGGCTCAGACACTCTGGCTCTGGGACTCTTCTCCCTCCACCCAAAAAATAGTCTCAAGAGTCCCCAGCCTCGCTCCATCTAAGGAGAGTCACTGGGTTACAGTCAAGTGCCTCTCAGAAACTCCCTGCAAAGCCAATGCTTTTTGGTACTGGGCCCCTTACTTCCATTGAAGACAGTAGAACCCTTTCAGAATTAGCCAATAAACTTTGTTTTGTAGCAGGGCCACATAAGCCCATGAAATCATTTGGTCTGGCCCTGCCAAAGCAACCACAGTTTCAGCCATCACATTGTTGTTGTTGTTATGTGCCGTGAAGTTGGTTCCGACTCATAGCGACCCTGTATAGAGTTTCCAGGGCTATAAATCTTTACAGGAGCAGAAAGCCCCATCTTTCTACCATGGAACGTCTGGTAGTTTCAAACTACCGACCTTGAGGTTCGCAGCCCGATTCATAACCACTATGCTACCAGAGCTCCTTAGCCATCACATTAGGGGTAAGTTAATTAAATGTTTGACCAAACAAAGCAGGCAAATTTTCCAGTAGATAATTTTATATGGCCCATGAATGATGTTATAAATTGTGGCAGAATAAAGGTTCTACACTCCTGTTTTGTAGTACTGATGCTCAAAACAACAGCCATTGCCTCACGCAGTCACCTGGTCACAACAATCCACACAGAAACCATCTCACATCTCAGGCCTCAGATAACTGTTCATGTTTCCCTCTTTGATTTGGCTAATAGGAAGCTCTGAACAAAATCTGTGGTCCAGCTTCAGCAATCTGATAGTATCACACAGTGTAATCATTTTAGGGCTTTAACATTTCTGGCTTTGTTGTTTAACTACATTTATTTTCTCTTTGTTCTGATTCCTTCAAGTATGAATTTTTGTGAGTTGCTTGAAGTAAAAAAATCTCCTGTGGCATGTCCACCCATTGATTCTGTTAATCACTCCTGGAACTGCACAGAATAATTCTAGCCCTCTTTTCTGTAACACTTCATATATACCACTCTGGAACAGTCTCATGTCCTCAACATGTTTCTAGGAACCGTAATTCTACTTTCTTCAACAATTTCTGCTTGAAGTGAGCTCCTAAAGAATCTTTGAACCTTCTAGACTCAGCTAATGCTTTATCACTTCTTGGCATTTTTCTTAAAGCCCCCACGCAGGACATGCTTCCATTACAACACTTATAGCAACCAAAATACAATGGATGGTCCTTAGACCTGCCTTCCCCACTGGAGTAGGAACTTCTGGAAGATGCAGATCACGTCTTTTACTCAGTGACCAATAGCTACACTATCCTTCATTTCATTTTTTTTTTTTTAATGTTTCTTTTTTAATTCAAAACAATGTCTTTAAAACTGACAGAAACATCAAGGGGACTCACACTGATTTTCCACCCTGTGACTATTACATGTGCTCATCGCCTCTACCAGGTCACAGTCCACCCTCTTCCTTGTTGGACCCTGATGGTGAAGTCCCCACACCATCTACTCAGAGGGGCAGCAACTGTGAACTCACCTGAGCAGACTTACTAATGGCATCTTTGGCTATAAAAGAATATACAATACACAATCCTACTATGAATCAAATCATTTGAAGTGTGCAACATCTTTCAATATTTTCATGAAACACTGAACAGTGGGTGATCTATTAGTCTCTAACTAGCACCTCAGCTCAAACTTCGTCTCTCATACTTTGGACATATTGTCAGGGGGGACCAGTCGCTGGAGAGGGATATCATGTTTGGTAAGGTGGAGGGTCAGAGAAAGAGAGGAAGACCCCCAATGAAATGGATTGGCCAATTGGCAGCATCAATGGACTCAAGCGTGGCAACAGTAGTGAGGTTGGCCCAGTATCGGGCAGTGTTTTGTTCTGCTGTGCATAATGTTGCTATGAGTCGGTACCGACTCGATGGCACCTAACAACAACAACAGCACCTCAGCATGGAACCCTAATGGCACAGTGGTTAAGCATGCAGCTAGTAAACGAGGGTGACGATTTGAACCCACCAGCCACTCAGGAGAACCATGTGGCAATCTGCTCCCATAAAGATTTACAGTCTTGGAAACCCTACAAGGCAGTTCTACTCTGTCCTACATGGTCGCTTCGAGTCAGAGTCCATATGATGGGAATGGGTTTGGTTTGGGGTTTGGAGCATCTTAGCAGAGCCTGGGGCATCAAGTCAATTCCAACTCACGGCAATCTCATGTGTGTCAGAGAAAAAGTATACTTCGTAGGGTTTTCAACGGCTGATTTTTCAGAAACACATGGCCAGGCCTTTCTTCTGAGGTGCCTGTGGGTAGATTTGAACCTCCAACCCTTCGACTAGCAGGTGCGCTGGTTAACCATTTTTATGCCTCTGGAGAGTCTGGAGGATAATACATGCTTAATCGTATGTGCTCAATAAGTGATTGTTGAGGAAATGAATGAGCCACACCTACAAGTACAACTTCATCTCTTGTATACATGCTAAAGAAAGCCTAAATCCCCAGGAAAGAAGAAAAGGAAGAGCCCCAGTTCCCATGCCTGACAACTCTTTCCCATAGGACCCAGGCTTCAGTCCCTTGACACCCAGACTAGGGTTTAGTCTCCAGGCTAAATCCAAAATCAGTAAGCATTAGACAGAATGGGTCCTGTGAGGTCAACTGGGGTAAATGTTCACATAAAGAATTTCCCAGCTCCAAGATGTAAGATGCCGAATGTTCCTATCAGTACTTCTATAGCACCACACCTTTACACAGGTGCTAATTATGTGACAGGCATTGTTCTAAGCTCTGTACAAATATACTCTTATTGAAACCTCATGATGAAATAGGTACTAACTCAACCCTAGTGCATTTTCATATTGTTCTTCCAGCATTCAAACCAGGTCTTTTATCCTGAAATGAAGGAAGGTGTAGCTATTGGTCACTGAGTCAAAGAAAAGGACCTATATTTAGCCCCAAAGTATAAAATGACTGACAGATCCAATGTTCGCCTTTGATTCGAGTCCTGGATGCCACTGTAAACCACCTCACTCACACCAAATTCTCAGAGCACCTACCACAAGGCCAGCAGTGCCTCCCATGCTGGGTAAGCAGATGAATGACAGGGTCACACCTGGTAGTAGAAACACACACCTCAACAAATAAAGTCCCACGCAGCATGACAAGTCCATTAGAATAAGGTTCATGGGACAGTGCTGGCAACCGGAGTAAGTGAGACAAGAAGGTTGGCTGGCTGGAGGGTGAGACATCTGACTTCTGTTTTAATGGGTGAACCAGAGTTCACCGGAAACTGCAGAGTCAGAGGGGACCAAGGGAGCAAAGCTACAGAGCTACAAAACCGCATTTGAGGAACTAATGAGTCTGGGTTGCAAAAGAATGAGAGTGGGTGGAACTGGGAGAACAGAGGTCCTTAATCAGGTGATGATCTTGACTGCAATGCCCAGGAGGAGATTGAAATCATAGAAGGGTCCAGTGGCAAGACCAGGTGTCTATTCTGGAAAGATTCTTTTAGCAGCAGGGTGAGGCAGGATGGGGATACCAGGTAGGAGGCTGTTGCAGTAAACCAGACAAGAAAATGTGCTTCTCACCAAAAGCACTGGATTCAAGGGGTTTTAGGAATCCAAAGCTTTGGACTGACTGGCAGGCTAGGGGAGGAGTTGCAAGGGAGCCCTGGCTGCTAATTTAGGAGGGCAGTGCCCCTAGTGAAGAGTCTCTGGGTGGGGTAAGTGGCTAGCGTGTTTGGCTGCTAACTAAAAGGTTAGGACTTTGAGTCCAACCTCAGAAGAAAGGTCTGGCAATCTACTTCCAAAATAGCAGCCACTGAAAACTCTATGGAGCACAGTTCTACTCTGACATATATGAAATCCCCATGAACATCAAATAGACTCAACAGCAAGTGTTGTGTTGTGTTAGGTGCTGACGAGTAGGTTCTGACTCACAGAGGTACACCAGAACAAAACACTACGTGGTCCCTCACCAACCTCACAATTACTATGTGTCAACCCACTGTTGCTGCAAATTGGTATGGGTCTTCCTTTTTTGCTGACCCGCTACATTATGTGTGCTTTATTGGTACCCAATGAAATGGGCAAAATGGACCAGCAGCAGGCCTGCAGGGAGAGAGGCAGGCTCAGACAGTCCATTCATCTTGGAAAGCCACACAGGGCAGTAGAAACGCTCTTCATTCTCTCAGAAAAGTTGTTCAGATTCTCGTTCACATCTTCTTTTCATAAAATGTGATACATTTCATTCTGTCACCAGAGTGAAAAATCATTGCCCTTTGCTGGGAATTAATAACCTTTCGAATTAATATTCTTTGGGTAGGAAAATTTGATTCATTAATGCCTCCCCCTGCACACTATAGGTTCATCATCTCTCAGTCCTGCTGTCCCCTGGAACCAAAAGCCCAAGACTTATTATTTGAGAAGCTTGAATGACTTTGTACTCAGAA